CCGCCCGCGGAGTGGGCGAGATGGGGTTGCTCGTTTGTTAGTTAGTGTTTTCTTCCCCGCAACTTTGTCTCCACTCAAAGCAGGAAAAGGCGGCAACCAGGTCTCGCTCAGAGGACTGCTCACCGCGTCAAACAAGCGTCCGCTCGGCCCACAGCAAGTTCCCCGGGGAGACCCAAGAACTGTGTCCCAGCGACTCTGCAGAAAGATGAAAGGTCCTCGTCTCGTCCGCGTGTCCAAGCTAGAAAAGACCACGCTGCGTGCAGGGCCGCATTCATGCTTAAGAGAGTTGTTGGTGAAGGTTGTGTGAGGGATGCAGGTGGGTTGACAAAGAACATTTAAGCTGGAAATTCCACACTGAGGTTGGACATGGAGAGGGAAAGGAAAATAGGGCATGGACTAGCCGGGGAAATGTGCTGGGATGTCGGTGCAGCAAGATGCTACAGGAAACCAATGATGTCAAGGTTCGGAACTAATTCCAAATGAGTTTGGGCATACCCTTTTGTTGTTTTTAAAAATCTCGTGAGGAAGACTATAAAATCCCATTCAAAATCAGACACGAACTTCTTTCTAATGGTTTGCCAGTACAGTCTCTATAAAATCACATCCAAAGTCCATACTAACTTTCCAGTACCATCCTGCTATCATCTGGGCCTTACGTAGTCCACGAAATATTCAGGGAACTAGAACAGTGATACTTTTATTTTCTCTTACTCATTAGAAACTTCACTATTACTCTTTTCTTTGAATTTTAAAGACGTTTCAGCCTTCAAGAGTCCTATGGCAAAAAGCAGTTAGCAGTTTAAAGGCCCTCAAAAATAGGCCAGAGTCTAGCTGCCTGTAGGAAAGGTAAGGAGAGAGAATGAGGGAGGAGGCACCCAAGGTTTTGGTCAAAAGACCATGAAGTACACTGCCTTCAGTGTCATTCTAGGGCCCTAGCAGACTCCACCTTCCCCGACTTCTCCCAGCTTCCATTCCATCATCTCCACAGACTGTTGCTGACTCTATATCCTTGCTTCTCAGTTTATTCCTGGTCTTTCTGCACAATACCTTCATGATCTTCAAGATCTGGTGGAGCCAGAACTTTTCCTTCACTGTATCTTTCCACCGCTCCCAGTCACATCTCTCCCGCAATTTTCTGATATGCAGCTGAATAATGTCTACATCCTTTACGTGGGGACTAAATTGTACAGTAAATAATATGACTGGCCTCTGAGGGTATGTTTGACTTTCCAGCCAAATTGTAAACTGTGAGAGAATAAAGAGCATTTCTCAGTAGTCTTCCTATACCTCTTACACTTTTAGTACAGTGCCAGTCCCACAAGGAACAGTGAGTTCTTTTGAAGTAAATTTTCTGTGCTTTATGTCCTTCAAAATGGACGGTGGAATGGATAAGATACTTGCTTTATGTTGTTTCTCTAAGACATGTTGTCTTTTACTTAGTTTTATTGTTGTTTAAACATACTTTTAGACAATAAAGAATTCTTGAGAAAAGCAATAATGAACCATAATTTGCATTTAAAAACTAAACCACCAGAGTTAATAAAGGAAGAAAAATTGTCAGCGGGTAACAACAGTTGTTGAGTTTACAATAGCACAATCCTCTGTTTTCTTCTGCATGCTGATTTTTAATGCAAAATGTTAAGTACGGAAATAATGAGAAGGAAATCCTTGAAATAGCTGTGGTTATCATTATATTCTCAACTTTGAGATTTTAAAAAATGCCCAAGGTGTTTTATTTATTCAATAATGAATGCCCTATCACACTTGAGGAGAGTCTAGCTGTTTGCTTCTTCAAAGTTTTTTTTCCAAACGGGTACTGTATTGTAGACCAACTGTACATCCACATTGCAGAAATTCTACATAAAGGATAATATCTGAGCTACTGATGCTTACAAGATGGAGAAACACATTTATATTACACTAGAGGCCCATTGCACAAACTTTGTGCACTGGTAGGGGGTCCCTAGCAGCTGGCTGTGGCCAGCCCTCCCTTTCCCAGGCTGGCCCCGCCCCCTGGCCGAACTCCGGGAAAAACTCCGGGTCGGTTGAGGGGACAATTTGCATACTATGCTTTTATTATATAGGATGTGGATAATTCCATCCAGCATGATGTAATGGAAACAGTAGGGTCTTTGGTGTCAGACTGAAGTTTGAAATCTGTTTCTGTCTCTCTCTAGTTGTATGGCTTAGAGCAAGACAGCTAATATCTCTCTGGTCATCACATTCCTCATCTGTGAAATAGCAATCATGATGACGATCTAAGGTGATGTGAGGATGACATAGAATACGGTAGGTACTCAGTATAGCTATTGGGATTATTATATTGCAGAAGGCAAAAATCAATTTCATATGGGGCAGTTATTCTTATACTAGTAAATGGCATGTGTCTTCATGCTTATGCAGCTGAATTTTTTAAATGCCATAAATTCAGGCTAGGACAGAAAACGTACTCTGGTTAAATTAGGCAGTTATAAATAGAAAAGCTTATATCAAAACTGCAACATTATGCTCAGTTCAATTACTTCAGTTATTTTTTTTGTTTTCCCAGATTTTAACACATATCTCAAAATTAGAAAACAGGATTTACTATTAGGTAGACTAAAGCATTTTGGTTCTAGTTATGGTATTGTTTCTTCAATATTTACAAGATCAAAAATGTTCTTTTATGCATCTAAATCTTAATAATTCAGAATCTGATCAGAAAGTGATAATGATGCAGCTTACCAAACTTTCAACCTTTATTAAGACAAAGGGGAGCTGGGAGGTATAAGGTAAGTAGAGTACAGATTAAACAAAGAGAGCAGCATTTTATATTTCAACTAGAGGCCCGATGCACGAAATTCATGCAAAGGACTCGGCCCTCGCAGCCCAGGCTTTGTCTGGAAGGACATCTGGCTGTCCAGTCTAATTTGATTATTTTAGATATGATTACCTGGAGAGAAAAATTCTATATGAAATAAGGTTGGAAAACACTGCATGTTATATCCTCATCATCCCTTACCCCAACCCAGTCATAATGAATGTTAAAGACTTGATAAGTCCTCAAAATTTACTTAAAAAAAAAAAAGGCTTACCTTTGTTTAACTCACTATTTCTAAAATGTATTTCAACATGAAATCATTTGGGCCTCAATATAACTATTAACATTTCCAAGAATAACAGTGGAATCATTTGCCATAGTATAAAAGAGAATGAAAGGAAAACGTTACTCAGCAAATGAATACTTCAAAAATGTTTAAAGATTTATTTACAAATCATATTATTGAACTCTGAGGAAAAGTGGTTTGTCTAACTTAGATTGTTTTTTTTATATGTATTTCTTTGTCATTATTAATCATTAGAGCAGCGGTTCTCAACCTGTGGGTCGCGACCCCTTTGTGGGTCGAACGACCCTTTCACAGGGGTCGCCTAAGACCATCAGAAAACACATACATAATTACATATTGTTTTTGTGACTAATCACTATGCTTTAATTATGTTCAATTTGTAACAATGAAAATACATCCTGCATATCAGACAGATATTTACATTACGATTCATAACAGTAGCAAAATTACTGTTATGAAGTAGCAACGAAAATAATTTTATGGTTGGGGGTCACCACAACATGAGGAACTGTATTAAAGGGTCGCAGCATTAGGAAGGTTGAGAACCACTGCATTAGAGTATTTCTGGTTTTTGTATATATTTGAAAGTAATAAAATTGTATATTTAAGGTATATAATTACACCTATTATTTATTCTTTCACCTTAGCAAAAAAATCAAGGATTATTATACTAGTTCATTGTCCTATTAATGTTTCATAAGGGAGCATTAATATAGTATAACAATACAGTATTTTAATTTCCCATATTTTCCCAAGTACGTATTAAAAGGAGAAGCAGGTGTCAATACAACAGGAACTTTACCTTGAACATTTTTTACATAATCTGGAAAAGTTTTATACTTTCTGATTTTGTGCATGTTGAAAACTTGTAATTTTATCCCTCACTTCATCACTCCCAGATCACAATTTTTCCATTTGCCACATAATGTGAAATTTACACTCTCTGTGGTAAACCTTGTAGAGAGCTTGATTTCTTCTCAGTGGCTCAATTCTCTGGTGTTTCTGAGCAACAGGTAAGAATGGCTCATCTATTCTTCATCAATAATGGCATGAAGCACGATTATATAACAGAATAAGCTTTATTTGGTCTGTTTCATGAATTAATGAAACAACTCAAAAGAGGTTTTGATATCCTCATAACTGGACATAGTTACACATAGGAAAGCCAAAATATTTTTAATTCAGCTGTGAAGTCTTAATGCTCAAGATTAGGTCAGTCCTTTATTATTTTTCTTTTTAGTCCTGTCCTAAAATATTGCTATTAAAGATCCCTGACATTATGAATCATAAAAGCTTTTAAGGTGTATCTATTGCTATCAAGTGCTCAATCTATGCCACTTGAGAGTAAACATTTTTCTGCAGTACACAACTAAACAGGGGGATGTCAATATTGTATTTCTCAGTTTTAAAACTGTCCTGTGATCAATTATTGATACACATTTGTTTCCCAATTTAAGATTATTTCTAGCTCTTATGTATGTGATTACTTACTATATGCAGCCATTAGAACTATTAAAATTTTTATCATTTCACTATGCATATCTTTGGAATTATATATTTACATGTAAATATCTCCTATATTTTATGAGGATCAGAAAAAAAGAAGTTTGTGACTATATGAACCATGTATCTATCTACTATCAATGTATCTTTAAAAGCTTTAAATGGTGCAGATCTTATAAATGGTTCTTGAAAACATACACACAATGTCTTCTTTAAAAATAATTCTGATGTGTGCCTGAACTACACCGCCTCTCCCATCACATTTCCCTTCTCTAATCTGCCTTCTGCAGCCCCTTCATGCCCATCTCAGAACAAACACAATCTGCATTCAGAACAGGACCCTTTACAAGTTGAATGGAGTTATTTTGGGTGAGTCATTGAAAACACAGTACAAAACCTTTCCTCACTCGCCAGAAGTGCATTTTTTAAATTAAGCCAAAGCGAACAAGGCTTGGCAAGTTTGAAGGTGGACAGAATGGGGAGAGGGCAGGGTTTCTGCCAGACTCAGATAGGATTCTGCTAAACCTTTTTGGCTATTTACATGTACCTCCACCAGTTTCTTTTACCATCACTAAACAAAAAGTGCAAGATTGAACAAGTAGGAAGCAGGGACACTCCATTTCAACCAGCACTGTGATGGTGAGCAAAACCAGATCTACTATAGGGCAGCCACAGCTTTAAATCCCCCTTTTTTTTTCATTCTTTAATTCAGAAGCTATAAGATGTAGCCACTCAATAATCTCTTTCTTCTGATTAAATCAATTTGGCCAATTAGTAATGCTTATAGGCAATTTTTATCTTTATTTTTTAAATATGTTTGTATTTATTTCAGAGAGGAAAGGAGAAGGAGAGGGGAAAAGAAATAGGAACAGCAATGATGAGAGAGAATCATTGATCAGCTGCCTCTCCTGCACGCGCCCTACTGGGGATTGAGCCCTCAACCAGGCATGTGTTCTTACTGGGAATTGAACTTAACCATTGAGTAACAACGGTCGGGCTACAGGCATTTAGAAAGTTGTTAAAAATTCAGTATGCAGTCCTTTAAAATTACTTTTAAAGTAAGTGAAGTTCATGAGAGTTAATCAAAATATTAAAAGAAACAGAGCTATAGAGACAGAAAATAAGCTACTTCCTAAGAAACTTTAAAAATTGAATTGCTATCATCAAAGTCTATACAGTATCTTGATAAATTTTGGATATTTAACAGCAGGTATCTACAGAACATATTACTCACCCTTTATCCTGCAGCGAACTTTTTTAGCAACAATAGAAGTGATCCCTCTTCTACAACCTGGTATAAATTTGTTGAGGTTCACATCTCATGAGTGAGGAGAAACCTGGAATCAAGAAGGAGACATTCTTAAACATATAATGGTAATTCAGATATATTTTGCTATAAAATCTGATAGTCCCTGAAAGTCACCTTTAACTCAGCCAGTTACTGTGGGCTAATTAACCCATCCTGTAGGGGGCCCTTTAGTTATAAGTGTTCCAGTTCACAAAGGGTCTATCTCCATGCTGTGGGGACACACTTGGCCTTACTAGGTGTAATTATGCAAGTATTCTTGAACTCCCTTAGAATTATCAGTTTCCACAAGGCAGGGTGACAATTGTTGGTTATACAGAATGAAAATGCAGTGTTTGAAAGTTAATTTGGTTATGGAAGCACTAGGGTCATAATAAACAAACACATATTTCCTGCTGTAGTTAAGAGCATAGCAAAGAACTCTGGTTTCCCACATTTGGGGGAATTTTTCTTTTTTGGTTAAGCAATTGTTTTTAAAATATAAAATGCAGTAGTTATACAGCCTTCAAAGCTTATCTCACCCATCTAAGAATGATTTTTATCACATTTAGTTGTAATTAAATATAACCTACATATGATCAAAAGTTAAAGTGATTAAATATCTGTTGATGGGAACTCAATGCTAAGAACTTCCCCACAATCTTGTTTCAAAGCAGGCAGAAAAGTGAAGCAAACTTCCATTATAATTTCTTTGGAGAAAGTTTATTATTACTTTCAGGTAGCATGTTTGGCCTAGATTACATTAGTACAAATCAAACAGCTTAAAGTTATGTTTATTAATAGACTGTTATTAAATAAAAGGACTACAGGGTAAAGGTCAGCACACAGGTTGTTTTGTTTATTTTTAAAAAATCCTCTGAGCCCATGTCTTTCCAACTTTTTCTAAACAAGTCAGCCCAAGTTGGCACCTTCAAACCTTTAAATACTGTAGTTATAATAGTGCTGATATTCAATTTGGAGAAATGCTGTTAGAAGAGCAACTATGTCAGTGGACCCAAGGAAATAACAATGTTAAAAATAGATGATTTTGATCGAGTACTTGTTGTATGCCAGACACTGTATTTAGAGCTGGATTTAGTCTCCTTTAATACAACAACTCTGTAAGGGCTTGTGTAATTCTCACTTTACAGATAGGGAAACTGAGCTTTATGAAGGTGAACACTTGCCCCAAGCCACATACTAGGAAGTTGCAGAGTGGAACCAGGACTTTTGCTCTGCAAAGCCCATGCATGCTCTTACCTAAGATGTGTGACCTGGGAGTATTCCAGGTCCACTGTTGGGTGCAAAGCCCATGCATGCTCTTACCTAAGATGTGTGACTGCCTGGGAGTATTCCAGGTCCACTGTTGGTCAGAGGGTCAGTGTGACTTACAAGTGGAAGGAGTTCTAGGAAAGTGATGAACTACTACAATGTCCTCATTTTACAAAGGAGGAAAACTGCGCTCAAAAACTTTAAATAGCCTGTGTAAGGTCAGCCATCTAGTTAGTGATAGAATTCATTAGGAACAAGAGTCCACATCTCAACAGCCCTACAAATATTAATAAAAGCAAAGCTAGAAAAACTGCTTCTATTTTATCAAACATGAAAAACTCTAGAGACTGTAAAAACAGAGTTTATTAGCCAAGCTTCTTCAGTGTTACATGCCAGTTGAGTCCTCTCGGACACCTGGCCACCATAGGATTGAGTGATGTCCACAGAGTCCTGTCCTCAGCAGCCCTGGTCAGGTCCTATAGGCTCATGCCTCTCGCTTCTTTTATGGATTTATCCATCTCCTATTTGGTTTGTCTCTTTTCCTGCTACCTTCTATTTTTCCCAGCATTGTTATCTTTTCCAAAGAACCCTGCCTTCTCATGATGTGCCCAAAGTAGGACACCTTCAGTTTTGTCATTTTTGCCTCTAGTGGTTTCAAGCTTAATGTGCTCTAGGACCTACTTGTTCACCTTTCTGTTGGTCCAGGGTAGCCATATAGCTCTTTTCCAACACTGTATTTCAAATGAATCAACTTTTTGCCTATCAGCTTTTTTGCTGTTCAACTTCCGCATGCATCCGTAGTACTTGGGAATACGAGGGTGTGAATGGTTTTAGCCTTGGTCTCTAATGACACATCTTTGCTCTTGATCTCTTCTCATTCTTCTGTTGCTGCCCTTTCTAATCTCAGCCTTCTCTTCATTTGTTGGCTGCAGCCTCCATTTGAATTGACTGAACCAAAGTAAGCAAAATCCTTAACAATTTTGATTTTTCCATTATCTATGTAAAAGTTGTATATTTCTTCTGTAGTCATGATATTTGTCTTGATGTTCAAATGCAATTCTGCTTTGGCAGTTTCTTCTTACGCTTTCATCAGAAGTCATTTGAATTTATTGCTACTTACTGCCAGTATGATGGTATCATCTACATATCTTGTTATTTATTTTACCAGTTTTCACTCCTCCTTCCTCTGAGTGTAGCCCAGTTTTTATTTTATTTTTTTTAAATATATTTTATTGGATCTTCCACAGAGAGAAAGGGAGAGGGACAGAGAGTCAGAAACATCGATGAGAGAGAAACACCGATCAGCTGCCTCCTGCACACGCTCCACATGTGCCCGCAACCAAATTGCTACTTACCGACCGGAATCGAACCTGGGACCCTTGAGTCCGCAGGGCGACGCTCTATCCACTGAGCCAAACCGGCCAGGGCTAGCCCAGTTTTTAATATGATTTGTTCTGCATACAGATTAAACAAATAGAGACATAAAACACACCCTTTTATGACACCTTTGCCTATCGGAAACCATTCTGTCCTTCCATATTCTGTCCTACAGTGACTTCCTGTCCACAATACAGGTTACATATCAAGATGATCAAGTGCTGTGGTCCACATATTTCTTTTAGAGCAACCCAGAACTATGAGGAGACATTCCTGATCCAGCCACATTCTTGTGCTCAGAGGACTTTCCCAAAGGGAACAATGTTCATGATCAAAAAGTGAGTCTTCCAAGCAACCCTCAACTGCTCAATATGGGACCTGGAGTTTTAAGATTTTACCTAAGAATTATTTGAAACTCAGTCTTAAAGAGAAACAATATTCATAAAGTTTTTCTTAAGGATAAAAATCCAGCTATTACTGTGACTAATATACATTCAAGTGATTATTTCAATATATTAGGATTTACCTGTGACTTAAAGCAGACCTGCAAAGAGCGGGGTGCCTTGATAAGGTCAAATGATTTCCAAAAAGCTAGTTTTTACAAAATCACTCTGTAATTTATGCAGTGGCATCCATCTATATTGATTTTCAGTATGAGCAATGCCATGAATTAAAATGCACTGTCTCTAATACAGAATCTCCCCAACGTTAAGCATATCACCCTGTATTCTCTTTCGGAGGATGTCAGTAGAAATATCTTTTTACAATATGTGTTCCAAGAAGAGTCAAAATTACTGAGACTTTTTAAAAAAAATCTCAAGGGCACTGGGACTTGGATAAATGACAATGTTTCTGTTTTTACATTGGTTGCTAGAAAATTGAGAGCCAAATGTGTGGCTCACTCATGGTAGATGAGTAGGCCATCATGGTATGCATCTTAAACCTTATTCATAGCTCTAGTTTGTCCCCACCCTTGTTTTTTGTTCTTTCAATTTTTCTTTTTCTCGAAATAATCTTGTGTAATTCTTTTATATTTCTTCTCTGCAACAGGAGAAAGAAAATAACTAAATAAAATATGTTAGAATATTATTCAACATTATGTTTACTGTACAAATATGTATATTTATAGCAGAATATTAGGAGGGAAATAAATATGTTTTGTTAGAATGGCAATGTTATGCCTAATTTTTTTCTTTGATTTTTACAAACTTTTAGAAATTGTATTTATAATTTAAGGAGGAAAAGTGATTTCAACTTTGAAAACTCTAGTTATTTATTCCAGAGGTAGAAGAAGTATGGGAAGTATGTGCATGACCCCATGATTATATTAGGGCAAGTGGGGGACTGTGATAAAGTGAGGTTGGAATGGTAGATAAGAACCAAATTTTAAAGGCCATAATGTGCTATTCTAAGGGATTGTATTATTGCCAGTGGGAAGGTGTAAGCAGCTTTCAGTTTTTAACTAATGTTCTTTATTGGAAGTTTTTTCCTTTTTATTGGGGTGACATTGGTTAACAAAATAGACAGGTTTCAGGTGCACAATTCTACAACATATCATCTGTACACTGTATTGTGTGTACATCACCCCAAGTCAAGTCTCTGTCCATCACCATTTATCCCACTATACCCTGTTTCACCTCCCTTCACGCCCCCCTTCCACCGCAGCAATCACCACACTTTTGTCCATGCCCAAGAGTGAGTTAGGTGAGTTAGTTTCTCTCTCTCTCTCTCTCTCTCTCTCTCTCTGTCTCTGTCTCTCTCTCTCTCTTCACCCTCCTCACCCAGCCCCCCCACTCGCCCCTAACAGCTATCAGCCTGTTCTCTGTCTATAAGTCTGTCACTCTTTTGCTTATTAGTTCATTTTTTTAATTAGATTCCACATATGAGTGAAATCGTATGGCAATTATCTTTTTCTGACTCGCTTAACTAGTAACAATATAGTTGAAAGAGTGGGAAATGTTAAGTCCTCAGGCAAGGGTGGCTTAAGAGTATAGAAAAGGAGGTTGATAAAGACTTCAGTGAGTTAGAGCAGTGGAGATAGGGGCTACAATTAGATTTGACAGATTAGAACTGGGCCTGGAGGAAGAAACAGAACATGCCCAAGATATGTTTTCTACTTAGTAGGTAGAAATTGGTAGGTATTGGTGTTTCAACATGAGAGAGAACGTATGAGAATTGGGTATTTTATGTTAATTTGTTTGAGAGTAAAGAGAACAAGCGGGAAGAAAGAAAATGAGTTTATTATTGGACCTATTAGATAGGAGGTGTTTATATGACACACTGATGGAAATGTAGCTCCAAGCATTCAGAAATACAGTACAGTGCTGAACTCTGGATAAAGTTTGACTTAGATATTGTAGGGGCGTGTGCATGTGAGATACTGGGGATCATTAGTACCAGAGA